CTATGAAATATGTCCTTTTACGTTCATTCTAAAGATTAAAATATAGTGACTCGAAGAGATAATTTATATAAAGTCACATAACCCCTTAGGCTGGATCCAGGTTTCAAATACAGTGTTATCTTGAGTGAAAAAGCCATTCCTCTATGTTCTTTATGCTATACTGTGTGGTTTCTCCTCTAAGCCTAACTTTCTTTTTGCTAAGGTAAGAACAGAAAATAGAGATGTGAAAATTCTTGTCAAAGTCCCCTGCCCCCGTCTCCTTTGCTTGTGGCCATTGCGTTGTTCTGGAGGAAGGAGGATAAACTTTGTTAGATGCCACTAACACTGAATGGCAAGAAGAGAAATGAAATGGAGTGAGGCAAGAAAAATGACCTGACTTCAAAGAAGAAAGAGTCCTTAGGAGAAAGAGAGAGCTGCTTAGAGTCAACTGTGAATTCACAGCTCCCCCGCAGCTCCTGCCTCTGCTCTTGTGAAAGCCTATGGCCTACATCTTTGCTAATTCGCACACTCCATATCCAATGAAGGTCCTAGAATGTTAGGATTTGGCCAGTGCTGCTGAATTTGAAGGCACCTGAATGAACAGTTGTGTTCTGCTTCTGATGATTATTGCTGGGACTGAACTCTCTGATAGCAGAGTATGGAGACAGTTCGAGGCTTCCAGCCAAAGTGGGCTAGAATGCTGGCAAGGCTGTGTGGACTCAAGAGACTTGACATGATTTAGAAATGATGGCCAGATGAAGCAAAAACTGATATTTTATGAAAACAGTATTTCTGGGTAGAGAGAATATTTAACTTAACAAGAACGCTGCAGACCCTGCCCCTTCGCTCCTGGACCCTCATATAGTAGAACTACAAGAGCAAAAGATGATCTGTGCTATCTTCCTAAGACTCCAAGTAGTAGCTTGGAGCATCTCGAGCAGAGGTTAGAAACTTCTGGTCCTTAGGCCAGATCTAGTCACAGAGGTATGTTGTGTGGTTCTTACAGCTTTAGCCTACACAGTGACTGGAATTTCAAGCCCTGGACAGATCCTCAAATCAAGCCACAGTGGGCTTTCATTTCTTCGGGCAATGAATTTGAATAGAGGTCCCCTCTGTTAACATAGCATAAGCTTTCCAGTTTGCTCAATGCCTAGACCTCCCCCCAAGGTATTGGAGCTTTATTTATTTTTATTCTTGCACTTATAGCGAGGATTCCCTTCCATGGAGTGAGAGCTGTCTGGCTCCTGTATGAATCTATGCTGGGGATGCCGGTGGGCATCTCATCAAAGCACTGGCAATAGAAAGTGAACCCTCATGTTGCTAGTTACTCCAGAAAAGTAAACAGAAAAAAAATAGCAGCTCAGAGCTCTTTTATTTTTTTAATAAAAGTTTCAAATTATAGCTTTTTAAAAAAATACTCATTACTTCTATATTGCTATTTTTTCCCCTTTTCAGTAAAAAATAAAACAGTCTATTCAGTGGACACGAGCACATTTGAATCCCAACCTGTCAGCATCTTGTATATGTAAACTCTTCTGGACTTTGGGAACATTTTTTTTAAATAGCTTAGTCCAAAACAAAACCAGTAAAAAGGCAGCAATAAAAATTAAAAAAAAAAATATAGAGATAGATGATAGATAGATAGATAGATAGATAGATAGATAGATAGATAGATAGATAGATGAATGATTGCAGAGAGGCTTTTATTAACTGCCCATTTAATTCAAGAAATTCCTAAATGAATAAAACAAAACAACAGAAGCAAAACCCAAAGTGCGCTTTTAGTCTTATGAGTTTAAGAAGGCCATTTATGCAGAGCAGAGTTTTGTTTGGATAATGGGCAGTGGCAAGTATGGTTGGAAGACTGAGAAATAGAGTTTTCAGGCTTCTCTATTGGCTACCAAATAATTCTTATGCAGGTTAGACTTTATAGTGATCAAATGAGTAATATCGCCATGAAGCAATCCAATCACTCATCATTTATCACCCCTCCAATGGGACAGTTTCAGTATGTATAGATCCGTGGTGTGTATGGGTTTCACTATATGAAATGCAATGACTCATGCACTGGTTTGGTATTTACCAAGAAATATTGGACCTGGTGACAGTGTTTAAGGAGTTACCTGACTATGACTGAGTCAATAAAAAACATTTTACAGAATAATAAAACACTAAATATTGGTAAGTGTTGATATTAACATTGGTAAATTTAGTATAGTGAAGGGCACCTGGATGGCTCAGTTGGTTAAACAACTGCCTTCGGCTCAGGTCATGATCCTGGAGTCCCGGGATTGAGTCCCGCATCGGGCTCCCTGTTCAGGGGGGAGTCTGCTTCTCCCTCTGACCCTCCCCCCCTCTCATGTGTTCTCTCTCTCTCAAATAAATAAATAAATAAATAAAAATCTTTAAAATAATAATAAAAATATTAGTATAATGATACTGGTAAATTTTGTTTTTCATAGAAAATCCATTAATAAAAAGGGGCTAATGTCTTTCTCAACTCCACCCTAAGGGACAGGTAAACAGATGAAGAAATTGAGTGTCCAAGAGTTTGTGACTTAACATCACATAACTAAAAAACAAGGAATGTAGGAATACAGCTGAGGAATCCTGAATGATCTCAGGATCTTTCCATGATATCTTACTGCGTAAGCATGAGGGAACAGAAAATCCTCTGGGCTGTTGGGAAGAAAAGAGATATGTACTGCTCAAGATAGGAGTTTAGTTTTTGTTTTCTGTGCTGTTTTTAGATACAGAATATAGAGAAATACGAAGTGTCATTATTGCTGTTTTTACTTCTTCAGTATTGGGATACCTGTAAATTGGGTTGGACAGAACATTTCAGTTTAATGAAGATTTTCTGTTTTTATTAGGAGTGAGTCTGAGAGTTTCACTGATAAAATGGAGAATAGCTGCTCACTTCTGGGAAGTAACCACAGCCCACAATCAAGCCTGATAAGAAATCTGAAAAGGAATAACTTATTTTGAGCAAAGGTGTCATAAGCTCATCAGGTAGAGATGAGGCTACAACCAAGGAAGAGGGCAAGATGCATGTGTTTGAGGCAAATAAACTCCAGCTTTAAAATCCAGGGACAGATACAGTCAATATCAGTAAGTGGAGAGAAAGCTGTACACTCTGAACAGATAAGCGAGCAAATGAGTGATGAAGTTAAACACATTCATAAGGCAAGTAGAGGAAATGATCAAAGTAACCACCAAAGAACAGTAAAATCTAAATCTAGCTTTTTTTTTTTTTTCCTCCCCTTCCGGAGATATGTTGACATTGAAACCTTGCATCAGTATTTCCTAAAACTGTAGATCTCTTGAGGCAGACAATAAAGAATCATGGCAGTGGGTCTTCCAAAGACAGATGCCGGTGTGCAGGAGAGGAATTCAGTATGTCAAGAAAAGAAATGGAGCTAATGAGGAATGATGTAAACAAGCCACCAGGGTTTTACTAATGGAAATGTGAGTGCTTACTATTCCTAAGCCTCTAGTTCTTAATATGTAAAACTGAAATAATAATTCAAAGTTCTGTTTTGAGAAATCAGAATATAATCAGCAAAATGCCTCAAAAATAGGGAGGGCTAAATAAAGTGTAGCTATTATATTTTCCACACATACTTTCCTAAGCTCTCCTGTATTGACAGAGGCATTTAAATAGAGGTGGTTTAAATAAGGAACAAATCATGACATACAGGAATAAAAGGATCTCAAAGTCTGGCAAGAAGAGTTCAGAAGGTAAAAAAATTTGCCCAGCATTGCCTAGCTAATAGAACTAAGCAAAAAACAGAACTGTTTGATTCCAAAGCTCCTGCATTTTCCTCTATCCCATTCTGCTTCTATAAATGAGATGATCTGTAAGCCACTGAAAGGTGATAATTAGATTTAAAATTTCCTTTGCTTTCAAGTTTCCGATTTAAGCCGTAGTACCTCTGTCCCAGTGGATGAAGGTGCTGTAAATTGCTGCAGTGGCAGAACATAGCTTAAATGCAACTGTCCTTCTGTCCCTTACTGAAGCAGTCAGAAGTGTGGGGTAAGGATGGTGATATAGAGCCCCGCACACTCTCACCAGGGATCTAGATCCCATGTTCCCCCAGGCTGCCTTAAGCCACCAGCTGAGCATAAACTTGAACCCTCTCTGGTGAGGACACTTTGCATCAGACTTAGCCATCCAACTGCAGGTAGTAAAACTACTATTTCAAAGCCAGGGGAGAAGAGGTGTTGGGACATGCTGAAAAGGAATATATTTTTGGATTTTTTCCCCCAAATTGTGGGAATGATATGTGGGAGGAGAAAATATTCAAGTAAATATGGTATGGTGCAGAGCGTCTGTAATATGAGCCTGGTGTCTCAAGGGAAAAGTCCTACGTTTGTGGCCCCAGGGCAAGAATTAACCCATTCTTATTCCACACTTCTCCCTCCCAGACTTGGCTGGAATCCCAGACAGAGGGCTTTTCTAACCCCTCGTCTTCTTCCTCTGCCGCTCGCCTGTGGCTTGTGTGCTGCTTTGGTAGGGTAGCCCCTCGTCCCAGTTTCTGTCGCTGTGTTTGATCGTAGCCAATAGATTGGTAAGGACCAAGGAAGGGTGCATCAGTACATTTGAACTACTCCCGCCAATGTCAATAAGGAACAGCATGAAGTTTCCCGGATATAGCCCAGCTCAGCTTACTTTGCCTAGGTGTGAATTAAAGCCCAGGGTTTAATGACTAAAGTCTCTCAAGTCCCTGAGCTGTGTGTGCAGAGTCGCACGTTAGAGCTGGGATCCCAGGGAGGTCGGTCGAGACTAGCAGGAGCGGCAAATGCGGTCAGTGGAAATGAACCCTCAGTTCAGCTCCGCAGCACGTGACTTCCTATTTCTGTAAGGTACTTCCAAGGGACTTCCTCTGTAAAAAAATCAGTCTGAGTCCCGGGAGATTTCATTCAGCGCAGTCGCTAAGTTTACTTCCAACTCGGGACAGAAGTTTTCCCTGAGACACCGTGTTAGTTTCTTTTCTTTCTCTTTCCTCTGTCATTGCCAGCATGCAAGGATCTTGTGGCTCCCGTTCGTGATCGGAAGCTGAATACACTGGTGCAGATCTCAGTAATCCACCCCGCGGAGCAGGGTCTGACAAGATACTCAAGCACGGAAATTGTGGAGGTGAGTGAGCGTGCTGTGTGCCTGCCTTCCTCTGCCCTGCTGTCGCCTTCTCAGCCTCTCTCTGGATTTGAGCAAACAGCTGAAATAAGTTAGTCCATGGCCTGTAGCTATGCTGTGCTACTGTCCTCTGTCATTTAGGAAAGCATACCTGAGGTTATTAAGCATGCATTGCTAACTTACCAAAATAAACAGATGAGAGAAGAGCTTGCCCTTTTCATAAGAGACCTTATTTTCTTTAGTAAATAGGAAAAAAAAAAATCTCACTTTGAATCGCTTAAATAGATCACCAAGTAGAGAAAAAAATACACATTTTTAAAAAATTAAATGGAATGAATACTTATTTGGGAGGAATAAAAGAGAGTCATAAAGTGCCCCCAGAGAAGTTAAGTGTTTTTGCACTTTTCATTTTTTCCTGTGTTCTTCAGGCTGCCCATGGAAACTTTATATTCTTTGCTATTTGTGTGCGTCTTTTTTTTAAAGTACCGTGTTTTTCAAAGAAAGGTAGGTGATTAATTTGAAAAACTGTAATGTTTCTAGCTAAAGGGTGTTATATTACTCATCAGATGAGAGATTTCCTATTTACATTTATTGTTATTAATATAACATTCAAAATGTGTCGGGAGGAAACTTGTTATTGTATTGGATCAGATTCAAAAGAGGAAGTGTTTACCTTTTGATTATTTTGTTCTGATCACACATATTTCACGCACTTAGTGAATGAGAAATACGGAACATCTGGGACTACAGAAAGTGTGCTTTAAACTCCTTAGCTTTGCATGCTTTTTTTCAGATTTGTAAGCCCTGTCTGTTTTGACCGGGGAATTTCTCTGTAGGGAACTAAGCAGCCTACCCTAGACACTGGGTTTGCTCAGTGCTGGCCTGTGCGTGGCTGCTGGAATAAATGATTCAGACTGAACTCAACTCATTTCTCTAATGGGAATGACCCAGATCCTGCATGTAGCCTTGAATCTGCCCTTTGGAAACTTTAGGTTCCAATGCTGGTATAATTTGTTGTTAATGCTGTAGTTGAAATAACAAAAATAGTCTGTTCATATATCGAAAACTTGACTAAAATTGTAAAATTGTTCATTTCTATGAAAAAAAAATTTCAAGTTTGTCCCAGTTTATTCTTAAAATATTGCCAAAACTTAAAAGAAATGATTTTGACACATTTCATTTGTTTATGTTTGAAAATACATAGCTGTTTTGGGCTGTTTTATTGACTGTTTTTCCAAAGTGTCTAACACAGAGCTGAACAAAAAGTAGTATTTGTTGAAGAAAAGGAGAAAGAATGAATGACTAAATAACTTGGGCTTCCAGAAACTCATAGACACCTGGTTTACTAAATTCTAGCAAACACTCAATAATATTTGGCAATATTCATATTTAAATATAGATGTAAAATTTAGTGTTGGATGTCAGCTCTCTCAAAATGAAATCTGAGGCATTGAAATATTCTGTGCACTGCATCCTATGCTAGTAATTTTATAGCCCCAAGTCCATCATACTTAGTTTCTTTCATTAGTTTTCAAATCGGTCTGAGAAAAAACACAGCTGAACACCTGAAAACAAATGGACATTATCAGAGCATGGCTTTCAATTGAATCATTACAGAAAGGAAGTAAATGGTACTTGATGAGCAAATAGCTTCATTTTAATTTGATCAGTCAATATCTTAGATCATTTGCGTGAATTTCAGGTTAAATCCATTAAATCTATTCTTAATGGACTGACAACTGACCCTAATTAAGGATTCTGCATATAATGAAAATAAATTGTTTTTCCAGAGTATTAGCAGTTCTGACACTGTTGCAGTGCCATTTACTATCAGCAGCTCTATCAGTATTTGGGGCTCTGGGCCTTGCTGTCGCCCACGAGCATCATTCGGCAATTCACATCGCTTTTCCAATAGAACTATTTCCTAGAAAAACAAACAGACTCAGACACACTTTCTGCATTCTCATGTGTCCCTGCATGCTGCCAACTGCAGTTGCTGCTTTATTGAATCAAAGTGGTCTGCTTGTGCTGTTACAGGGAACAAGGGACCCGCTGTTTTTGACTGGTGTCACATTCCCATCTGAGTATCCCATCTATGAGGAGACCAAAATAAAGCTAACAGTCTATGATGTCAAGGATAAGTCTCATGACACTGTAAGTACTTGTACTTATTTCTCTTTTTTTGGGGGGGGAGGGGAAGGAGTTATGCTTTTCCAAACCATTGGGTTTGGATATAGCTGGCATTTTTCAAAGAGGGTGTTTATACTGTGTTTATGCTTGTCTTATGTTTATAGTTTGCTGAGGATCCCCACCCCCACCCCTCCACGCCCAATTCATTTGGCAATTGGTGAGGAGCAAAAGCTTTCAGAACAGATTTTTCTCTTTCTCAGGAAGGCTGGCTTGATCTCTTGGTTTACCTTTCTGTGGTTGTTTTAAGGAGTTGCTGAAGGAGTCATAGTGTGGGCATAAGGCAAGTGGAAGAGATGAACTTTATATACTGTTTTAAAACTTTCTAGATATTGTAATTATTCTAAAACAGGAGGTTGATAAAGTGCTCTACTTTCACCGTTTATTCTGGACAAGACTGTGTAGAGAGATACTCCCTCTATTTTCCTGAAGTTGTTCTTGGCACCAAAGCAAACAGAGGGGGTAAGGAGAAGCACTAGCCACACGTTTTAATCGGCCTCCTTGCATGGAGGTTATGTAAAGCCCCCGTGGGCTTTTGTCCTAAATTCTTCAGTCTTCCTACAGGGTCTGACTTTTCTTCTCCCTGCATCAGACTGCCTGGTTAGATAGTCAAGGACCTAGGCACTATCTCTAGAGGCCATTCTTAAAATTCCTGGACAGAAGACAATGCTGTTGGGTAGGTGCTGGGAAGGGGATGGCTTAAAAGAGGCCCTCTCCTTTAAATCTCTCCTGTCTGTTTTCAAGGCAGGGAAGCTACAGCAGTGTTGATGATCAATAGTGAGCCACATGCCAGGGAACACTTTGAAGGCAGGGAGGCCTTTAGGTTCCAGTAGAGTTTCTGTTGAAGCTAAGCGGTGCTGCTGGACACAGAGAATCACCCATACCTCATCTGGGGAAAACGTCACTTTAAACTCCACCCTCATGTAGGTTATGGTTCAAATAGATAGTGGGAGGAGGTGATGCAACTGTTCAGGGGAGTAGTAAGCAGAGAAATGATTAGGATGATGTGAACTGTGGGATTTTCTGTTCCTCCAAGCACACGATCAAATTCAATTCCCCCAGCAATCCCAAAGCATAGACAGGACAGAATATGGCAAGGGCAGAGGTCTAGGAACACTGTTACAGAAATGAATGTTTCCCCTAAACTCTTGAGTTTGTGAAGTCCTTAGAAATGTCAGAGTTATGGGGTGCCTGGGTAGCTCAGTTGTTAAGCGTCTACCTTCAGCTCAGGTCATGATCCCAGGGTCCTGGGATCGAGCCCTGAGTCGGGCTCCCTGCTCCGCGGGAAGCCTGCTTCTCCCTTTCCCACTCCCCCTGCTTGTGTTCCCTCTCTCGCTGTGTCTCCCTCTCTCACTGTCTCTCTCTGTCAAATAAAAAAAATCTTAAAAAAAAAAAAAAAAGAAATGTCAGAGTTAGAAATATGAAATACCTAAGATGTTTCTATCCCCTTTACTCTCCCTCATTTAAAATGTGCATGGATGTTAATGATTTACAGATAGATAATTAGCTTACTCATTAATTATGCTTTTTATTGGCTTCTATTCTGAAAGGTACTTATTTAAGGTCTATTAAAGACTTCCTTCCTTCATCAGAGGTGTCATCACATAAAAATATTGGATGAACCTGAATCCCTGCTATGAAATAAGACTTGTGAAATTTGAGCATACTTAAGAGATGCAACCAGCTTTCATTTACTAAGAGCTGTTAATTAAGGCATAACCTCTTCCTTAAAATAACTAACAATTAGCCCTGGTGATGGAAGTGTAAATAGAAACACAGTTTATTAATATGCTAATAGTCCCCATGGACATACAGTCTTTATCCTGGCCCTTGTTCTCTCATTTCTTAAGATTTTCTTTGGGTTGGGGGCGGGGGAGGGGGGAAGGGGAAGCAGGAAGTGGTTTTCAAGTACAGTTTATAATTGTGAGCACTTAACAACCTAAAAAAATTAAGATCATAGTACTTTTAAGGCCTAAGAAATGAGAATATGTATATGTGTTTTAGAAAATTAATGAATTATGTGCATGTACTTAAAAGTAGTTTAAATATTTGATCCTAGCAAAGCATTGATCATGTTAGGCTGACCCAGAACAACGAGATTTTTCTACTGACTGAAAACTAATGAGTTGAGTCAGATGACTAAGTTGCTTGCCCTTTCCTATTGAATTTATCATTACTTGGATTTCATCAGTCAAATAAATGTGTTACTTTGCCATTTCATATTCATTTACATACCTATTAATACTAGATATTTTTAAAGAGAAATGATAACCTTTCATCTGTGCCCTTGATACCGCTAATATGTAACTGGTTGTTGTTCTTGTATTCCTCTAAACATTGGACCTAAGATTGATTATCTTACTTAGTAACTTCAGCAGAAATGCAATTAATCATTGTAACCAAGGAGAAGAGTCTGTCCATTCAGAATGACTGTTTCCTCCTACTACATCCTTCATCCTCCTCATTCACTGCAGTAAGTCTTGCACTGTGGCAGATGGACAGATAATGCTTGGCAGGTGGGGAGGTGGAGTACGGTGGGTGACAGGGTCATTATTAAAATTGGAGTGACCTTTTTACTATTTTCCTCATCATGAGAAAATGATCTGTTTTCTCAGAATGTGCGGCTCTAACATCCAGCTGTTTCGCGGGGACTTCAAAGCTTGAAATTGAAGCCCATGGCTAGGATGGGAGAGCCCAAGTTCAAACAGTGAAGCTGGTATCTTCTGGATATATACTGGTTGTGTGCTCTATTTTAAACTTCCTGGAAAATGAAACAACATAGACACAATTGCTTTTAGCACATAGCTCACAGTGTTCAGCCCTAGGGAATCAAGCTGGGACTATGGGTCTTTCATATGTTACAGAAAAAACTCAGAAGAAGGTGAAATTTACATAGGAGAAGAACATCACCATCAAACTTTGTCTTTTTCCCTTCCTCCCATGCAACTGGTGTCTTGGAAGATACTGAACAAGCTCTTTCAACACCACACTGAGGATAGCCATCAATCTGCAAACACATAATTAGGTCACAAAATTGGCTTTGCTCATGGTAGAAATTTGAATTTCTGTGTATTTTGCAGGAGTACACATTGCTTCATTTGTTCTTAGAGTAAATAAATGTTTGCTGTATCCTTAACTTGTTAGATATTCATTTATAGGACAGAGTCCTGTGTCCAGTAGATACGGAACACTTCTCAGGTGAGGATATATGTCCTAAGATATTTTTTACTGCCAATTACTAGCAACTCTTCATTTGTACCTTTCAGAAAAAAGTGACCTTATCAAGATTGGATGTCAATGTATTACATTATGTGAGTTATTATGTCCGAGGCAGTTTATTTCTAGCACAATTCCCTACATGGAAGTGTCCAGTTAAGTTTTTTGTGTTTTTCTATGGAAAAGAAAATCATTTACATTTGGTATACTCTGACTTGCTTTGATTTTCTACACTAACTTCTTAGAAGGTTAGGTCTAATTATACTTGTTGAGATCCAAATTCTGTAAGCTTGCCTTCTCTTTGTAGAAGATACAGTACAGCTGATTAGGAAAAGAAACGGATACTATTGATCACTAAGCACATACCAAGCACTGTGTTTAATTTGTTACACATGGTTTTTTCTTTACTCTCCAAAAAATTCGTTGAGGGAGGTATTACCTTGCCCATTTTAAAGGTGAAGAAACTGAGATTCTGAAAACTTAAGTAGGCCAAGTCAAAACTCGTTTCTTTTCTCCAGAGTACATATATTGTTAGGATTACCCTCATTTTCACTTACGCACAGTGGTATTTTTACTTCAGCTGATGCCTTAAAAACGTTCTTCAGTTGGGGCGCCTGGGTGGCTCAGTTGGTTGAGCGACTGCCTTCGGCTCGGGTCATGATCCTGGAGTCCCGGCATCGAGTCCCACATCGGGCTCCCTGCTCAGCTGGGGGTCTGCTTCTCCCTCTGACCCTCTTCCCTCTCTTGCTCTCTGTCTCTCATTCTCTCTCTCTCAAATAAATAAATAAAATCTTAAAAAAAATGATATTAAAAAAATATTCTTCAGTTGGATCTTCAAAATTGATTGAGAAAAAAAAATGTTGGTATGCCAGTATAGGGAAAAAACATATCCAAAATTTTTAAGCGCTTAGATTAAGCATGTATAACTAATTGCAAACGTCTGAATAAGTTTTATGAAGTGGCCAACTAATATTAATGAAAATATAGCTGTTATTACCTGTTGTGAAATGGTTAAGTTTATGTCTTAGACTTTTGCTTTTGTCCACCTGGCCCTTTCCTTTTGTGTATACTGCATGGTCCTCTCAACTTGTTGGTTCACTTTGCCTTTTGTAATGCTCTGGTCTCTACTGTAACATAATTTGCAAGGGGAGTTACCAATTCTGTATAGAAGTAGTTCGGGGTTCTAAGATGTTGCTGCCCTTCACAAATAATTTCACTTCCTTTCTATCTGTTGATGAATAGTATATATTTACAAAGAGCATATTTATATTTTTTTGAGGCATAATTTACATATAACAAAATGGACAAATCTAAAGTGTTCAGTTCAATGAGTTTGATAGTTGCATATGGCCACATAACCTCTACCTGACGCAAGATATAGAACATTTCCATCATTCCAGAAAGTTCCTTTGTGCCCCATTCTGGTCAATTGCCACCCCACATACTCTGAGGCAACCACTTTTCCATATATAACAACATGGATTTGTTTTGCTTGTTGAAATGTATGTGAATAAAATCATATAATATGTGTTCCCTTGTGCCTGGTATCTTTTGCTCAACATATTTTTGAGGTTCATATATGTTGCTGAATGGTATTATTACTGAATGGTATTATGTTGCAGTGATACCACAGTTTATTTATTCATTCTCTTTACATTTCTCTACATTTAATAACTTACAGCTTTTGACAACAATGAACTAAATGTCTATGAATATTCGAGTACAAGTATTTGTGTGGATATTTGTTTTTA